TTTACAAAATGTGCTTKCTGGGCAAAATCTTTGAAATAAACATGCACTTAGAGGAAGAAATRGTGAAGAGTCTGGGTAATCACTAGCCTGAATACTTACACAATTAGGTGAGTAAAATGGCACCTCATACATCAGTGCTGAACTAAGGTTGATTTTTATGCTGCATAAACTGAAGGTATTTATCATTTGTGTTATTAGTTAATAGTGATTAACTCTGTGGTAGGTGCTATTCATGTGTGTGTCAAGCTAAACATACTTTAATATTTGATACTTCTTTAATATCATCTAAGCTTATTATAAAAAGAAATCTAAGTGAAAGTCTCATAAACTCACTTCAGACCAAGACCACACATGAGAACCTTCAGCTTAAAAGGAAATTGGAAGGCCAGAGGGAAGAAATTACAAGGAAATGAATGATGTTTTAAAACTGAGGTACTATAACTAGAGTGCAGCTACTAAGATATTAAAATACTTAGACATTTAAAAGACAGGGTTAATTGACATTTACTCTACAAATGCATTTACATGAAAATTTGAAAAGTATTTGATCAAAGCAGAGCTTTCAGATTTCTTTTGTTACCAAACTATTTTACTTCAAGTATTTAGCAATGTAGTGAAGAATTTGACCCTTATATTACATAATGTCCATTAAAGGACAAAAGTAAGAAAGAAGCACATTTATGTTTTTAATAGGAGATATGTCTTCTTCCTTCCTTGCTTCTAGGTTTTTTTTTTTTTTTTTTTTTTGCCATGGCCAAGAGAAAACTAAATTTCATGTTCAGCAGAGGGAAACAAGTTATTTCAGTTTAATTACAAGGACATACCTTTCACTCTATATTTTATTCATATTTTAAATTATTCAGTAATGTGTCTTTAATTATATATGTTACATAAAATTCCTTTTAGCTATTTATGGCAAATAAATTACAGGTAAAGGAATGACCCTGAGATACATAGGTTTTTGCATTTGCTATTTTCATTAGTTGTCTGTTCTTTAGTGAATAAGCACATTATGTAGGCAGACTATTAGGATATCAACAGTCACTCCTACATAAAGAAGAACATTGTAAGAAACTTGGAAGAGATTGAGAAAAAAATATAACTTCAATCAAGAGGAAAGGCTATGTGTTATTTTTGGAGACTATCCTGGCTGAGTTCATATTTATTGGAGAAGCAGAGGGTCATTGAATTGGATAGTTTCTTTTATCTCAACTTATTTCTCTCCCCATCCTTAATGTAGACAATACCTTCATGCGAAATGCCTTAAATTTTGTCCTAATTCTGTATTTTCCCTAGAATCACCTTGCATCTTTATTCTATGATCTGCTTCTTCCTTTCCTCCTTACCTTGCTGGTCCTCATCCTTCTTCCCTGTGGTTCCCCTATTTTTTCCCTCCTTTTACATATAAGAAAAGTGATACTCAGAGGCTTGAAGCAGCTTGACAGAGTTTACACAGCTGCTAATTGGTCAAAAACTTAATCTCCTGACTCTTGCTACATTGCTCTTCCCAAGTTTCTAAAGGAGTTCTTTCTTAGAACATGATACTACCAGACTGAGGCATAGTTCTCATTTGCTTGAAGTGTATATGTTTTCTGTTTAAACTACAATGTCCATGGGTCAATATTCAGGGAATTCATATCTAATTGTGTCAGTTTWAAAAAAAATATTTTAAAATATTGAAATATTTCCACATTGGCCAATAAGTAACCACTGCCTATGCACTGTTCCCCTTTTATTTCAGCAGCCCCCAAGAATCTCGGGCTCCACACCCAGTTAGCAGTGCCCTTACAACTCTGCTTAGTAGCATATGAGGCACCTAGCTCCCAACAGTTGGATGAAGGATTAGTAAAGCACTTCAGGTTTTCATACTGAGCTACACTCTACCATATTTATCTTTAGGGGTTTATTTCATTTTCATAATAGTGATGAGAGGGAGAATTTACTTGATTCCAGGCTTTGCTCATCTTTTCTTTCTAAACATTGTGTGTGTGTGTGTGTGTGTGTGTGAGACTGTGTGTGTGTGTGAGACTGTGTGACTGTGTGTGTGTGTGTGTGTGTGTTGAGAAATGTCTGGAAACAAGATACAAGAAAGTTATTATGTAGTATCAAACTTTTCTAGCACCTAAGTTCACTTTAAGTTTTGCAAACATATTCCTTTTAAAGATCATATAAAGTTTCAATTCTGGAATAACTCAAAGAATCTACATATGTTTTATGGATTTCAAGTGTTTTATGGATTTCAAATTGTGGAAAATTATTGTTATATCTTTAATAAGTTCTTGACTTTTTTGTTTAATTTGTTAATATGGAGAATCGCATTGATTGCTTTTCAAATTTTCAAACTACTTAAGAATTCTGGGGATAAACCCCACTTAGACATGATGTATTAGCTTTTTACTTACTTTTGCATTTGATTTGTTTAATTTTTATTTAGACCGTTCATATCCATGTTACGAGAGATATTACTCTGTAGTTTTCTTGTTGCATCCTAGATAGGATGTAGTATCAGAATAATGCCATATAGGATAATATTATGTATTCTTTGTTTTTCTAGAAGAGCTATGTGGAACTGATATTTGGTTTTTAAAATGTTTGATAGAATTATCAAGTGAAGCATTCTAGTTTTCTTTTGTGGGAAGATTTTAAAACAAATGTTCAATGTCTATTATAGATACAGGGATATTCAGGTTATTTATTTTTTTCTCCAGTGAAATTGATAGTGTTTTTCAAGGAACTTGTTCATTTCCTTTAGGCTGTTCAACTAATTTGAAAAGGCTGATCATATTGTGTTTATTTTCCTTGTAATAGTTACATAATCTGTAATGATGCTACCTGTGTGGGTTTTTTTTATTTTAAATAACTTTCCAACACTTTAAATAAGTTTATTCTCTATCTTTTTGCCCATATTGTTTCTTATGGTATATTTGCTGTCACTCTTAGTTGTTATTCTGTATATTATTTGTATTTTTACTCCAAATTTAAGTATTAAGTATTTTCTCTTTATTATATGTTTTGAACAGTTTGATTATGATATATTTTGATATAGTTTTATGTTTTCTGTGCTTGAGTTTCATTTCCCAGTGAACCTTGGACCTGTGGATTTATATATATCATGGAATTAATTTCCTTTAAATATTTTTCTTCTCTCCTCCCATTATCCCACAGTTCATTAATACCGTTTCCCTCTGTATTATCTTTTGAGTAATTTCTTTCTCTCTTCAAGTTTACTAATCTTTCTTTGGCATTGCCTTCTCTGTTATTTTAGCCCATCCTATTCATGTTTCATCTTACACAATGTAGTTTTCACTTCTAGAGCCCAATTTCTATTGTTTTTGTATCTTTGATATTTCCACTTACGTTTTGAACAAATGATTACATTTTTAATGACTGTCTTAATGTTCTTGCCTGCTCATTTTAGCATCTGTTTCAGTGCTAGTTCATTTTAGGCTGACTGCTTTTTCTCCTCACTTTGGTCATATTTTTTGAATGCCAGATAATTTTTTAATTGAAAATTAGTCATTGTGAATTTTAACTTATTGGTTGCTAAATACTTATGTACTACTGTAAGTCCTGCTTTTTTCTCAGTGCAATTAATTTATTGGTGAAAGTATTTGTCTTCTTGGGTGTTGCTCTTAAGATTTGTTATTATTAGGACTAGAGAAATATTTAACTTTGGACTACTTACTTCCCAGTACTGAGACAACACCCTTCTGGATACCCTAATGAATGCACTTAATTTTATAAACTTTTGTAGTCAGGCTGGTAGGAACAGGTGTTCTTCTGGTGACTGCTCATCACTGTTACTACCAGGTCTGTTAGGTGTTTCTTTCCTGGCCTTAGTTCCCTTACTTGTACATGTTAATTTCTCTGCTGCCAAATAGTTAATGGAAACCCCCTGCAGATTTTCAAAGTCTGCCCTCTGCCCTCTTCTCTCTGGTAATCTGTGAAGAACACTCTGTTTCATTCTCCTTGGCATCCTAGCTCTCTCCTCTCCAGTGTGGGAGTCCATCAGGCTCCTCCTGGGCTCCACCTCCCTATGCTACCCCAGAAGTGCAAAAACTTTGCTCTTCATTTCTCAGGATTATTAGCCTTTATTTTCTCAAGTCCAGAATCTTGAAAACCATTATTTTGGCTTTGCTTTGTTTGTTTCAGAGTTCCAGTTGTTTTAGTCAGAAAGGCAAACTCAGTTCTTGTTACTTCAAATAGGTCGAAAGCTGGAGTTCCTTGATATTTGGTACAGAGTGGAAGTGGGAAGACTTTGAGACTGCATCCTGAAGTGCTGTCCTCAGAGAGTAAAATTCAGAATAGGTGGTAGTACGTTCACTATTGAATACATCTTAATACTTAAGTTTTTTCTTTTCAGAAAATAAAAACTTACTCATTTTTAAAAATAGGAAAAGCATACAAACAACAACAACAACAAAAACTGTGGACACACATGCATTTAAGTTTTTCTTCAATGAGATAGTAAAAATATGAAATATTCATAGGCAATGCAATAGATTATAATTAGGTGGTTCCCAAAGTTGTGTCTCTGTATGAGTAATTATCTTTAAGGAATGTACACAAAATGAATTCATACCATTTGTAAGACTTTCTTTATTTTATGCCTTTGTCCTTCATACATTATTAGTGATGGAGTTTCATGCTTTATTAAATTTATTATGATGATTGAAGGATGGTAAGGTTTTGATTTTGTTTTAAAAATCATTACCTGATAAGCCTGTGGCTCAGTAGTAGAACATTTGCCTAGCACCTGAGAGGCACTGGGTTCTATCCTCAGTACCACATAAAAACAAATAAGCAAAATAAAGGTATTGTGTCCATCTACAACTAAACAGTTTCTTTTAAAAAAGTCATTACCTGACAAAAGTATAGAAGGATGGTTCATGTTGTGTTGATTTCCTCTAAATATTTTTGTTTTAGTGTTCTGTGCTTCAGTAGTTTGGAGACAATTGGCTAATCACAGGTACTTTTAGCCTTACATATGTTTTTTTTTTTTAAATATGGAATGCTTCATGAATTTACATGTCATCCTTGCATGGGGCCATGCTAATCTTCTCTGTATCATTCCAATTTTAGAATATGTGCTGCTGAACTGAGCACATCCTTACCTACTTTTTATTCAGAGATTGATTAACAATAGATTTTATTTAGGAAAACAGAAAATGTTTCTCTTTCTGAGTATCTTTATTTAGGGGATAGTGTATTCTGACCTATACAACTCATACAACATGGACAATGGACACATCTGAATGGCCAGTTTCTTCCTTTTCTCCATAATAGATATGCAACTGAACCCTTGCTCCAATACTTCAAAGCAGTACTAGGAGGTGGATTTTTTTTTTAATTTGATAAGTTCCTAATATTGTTTCTGTATGACAAGAAAACAGGAATTAACTTGGTCCTTGCCCTCTTTGTTATAAGTATATGGCTAGTGAGAAAATTGCCTTATGATGATAATGAATGGGTTAATAATTAATGTACAAAGAAGTATATCTTTTATTTTTTACAATAGTGTTCAAGGTGCCCATTATTATTCTTATTTTTTTAAATGAAGAAATTGAGTCTTAAAGAGTTCAATAACTGCTCAAGGTGTCACAGTGAAGGTGAAGCTCTAGATGAGACCCCAGGGTGTCAAAGACTGTGCTTCGCTGCCTCCAAGTGAGAGGATGAGATTTTAATTTTTTTTTCTAATAGTGGCACTGTTCCTCTGCAGACACACTCAGAATCACCAAAGCAGAGAAACGACTCTATTCTGTGCACTATTTATCGCTCCTGTTATTATTCAGAGCTTTTATTTAAAAAGGAGAATGATAAATTACACTCTTGTTGAAATAGGCCTTTTAGACCTTTGAAGAGTTGGAAACCAAAGGAAACAGACATTCCACAAGAAATGTGACCTATTTTTTTTWAAAATAAATCTTTTCTTTCACTAAATCTCCTAAAAATATTACCATTTTTATAAAACTGTTCTGGTTTCTTTGTGCAAATAGCTGCAAGGATATGTCAKTGGGTAGGTTCATTAAAAATTACAAGCATGCACCATGACTGTGAAAAGTTCTCACAGCCTATTTCCTGCACTTTGGGAAGGGCGCAGCTTTCTAGCGATGGCTGCCCATGAATCTTGGAGGCCAGCACCTGCAGATTACAGCCTCGGGCACAGACACTGTGAGAACAGTCTCATTTTGTAAAACCAAAAAGCTCTGCTGTTCTACAGAAATGTTTGAGACTGAGGAATGGACCTAGATGAGATAAACAAAACTCATAAACCACTGAGATTAGATAAATTGCTGGAGTTGTTTGTGGGGCTGGGCAGGAACAAACATTCTCTTCCTAAATGTAGTTTTCCTGCACTTGGGACAAGCACACTATCTGATTACCCAGGATGATTTATTTATCTTTCTAGACTGTTGACATGAAGTCTGAATTTCAAGCCCAAGAATAGGTGTACTTCCTGCTGTTATTTTCTTTGCAGAAATCGCTGACTTCTCGTGTTACCTTTTGTGATGGGTGGTGCCAACAATATCAAAGTTTAGTGTGCTCACCTCATCTGTAACAGTAAAACTTAGTAAGTCACACTGGGTTTGAAGTGTAGGYTCTGGTGTAATACTCCAACAATGAATAGGGTACCTGTTCTCTTTATAGTTTCTGTTACAGCCTTGTATTGGTGACATTTCAGTGTCTGTTTGATAAAGATTGTTCATACCAATAACTCATAAAATTCATGCTGCAGGGTATAAGTAAGTTCTGCTGAAAGCACTCATTTATTTATTTGCTTTTTTCACTGATTCTACAAATTGATATTATAACCCATCTCTTCCAGACAGTCATGTGGATCCGGGGTGATCATGGGGACTCCGGTGAAAAGAAGATTCTTGCTCTTTTAGAGCTTGTGTTTTAATTGGGGGGGGCTTTTGTGTAAAAGATGAATAAAATGGACAAGAACATACCAGGTAGTGATACAGCTCAGAAGAAAGTAAAACAGGGAAACAATGAAGTGTGCCGGAAGCTGGCTGTACATGGTGTGGTCAAGAGTGGCCCCACCACTGAGGTGACATAGAAGTTCATTCCCACATGAGAAGCAGGCCGCCAGGGGAAGATCTTATGCATGGATATTTCAGATGGAGGTAACAGCTAGTGCAAAGACATAGCTATGATGAAGACCTGGATATGCTTACATCCTCTGCTCTGGACTTGCCCCTTGATTTGCTTGCACTTTTACTATTCATACCCTTCCTTATCCTTCACATCCTTAATGAGAATTACACTGTTCAGCAACTATGCAAATATTGTCTTTAGCTAACGGATTCTGTAATGTCTTCAAGAAATTTCATATTTAGAATAATTTTACAAAATGATTYCATTTAAAAGTAGTTACTGAACAAACAGGTAAATTGCAAAACAATTTCCTAAATATCTTTCATCTCAAAACTTACTTTTTAAAAAAAATGTGCAAATATATTGTCTCTAAAAAACAAAAGAGGGAGGGAGGGAGGAAGAAAGGAAGGAAGGAAAGAAGGAAGGAAGGAAGGAAGGAAAGAAGGAAGGAAGGAAGACATGCAATTCTTTTTATGTCTGGAAAGACAGAGAACTGTTTCCCAAATGTGGTTACTTTGAAACTGGGAGACAGATTCCCATGTTCATAAGGGGAAACTTCCAGGACATAATTTCCTAAATTATTTCTTTCACTGCCCTCTTGGTAGCTCAGTGTCACGGATGAGTGAGTTTACCTCACAAGTAAGCATTTAGCTCCCCAAGAACAGACTCTTAACCTTAGCTCGCCACGTGATTCGACTCGGGGTGAATGCACAAGATTAATGAGGACCTTGAGTGAAAACAGTCTCTTGTAAGGACAGCACTAAATCTTGAAAGGCTGCTTGTTATTGTTCATGGTGGTTGAGCCCTGGACCAACCCCAACAAGGATTGGTGGTGGTGGCTCTTGATCTGGGTGTATCTTTAATCCCCTGATCCTATTTCTCTGTTATTGACATTATGTGATTCTCTGTTGGAATCTATTTTTAGGAGATACTGCAGATCCTTGCATTTTCTCACTATATCTAAAGGTGAATCTTATCGTTTTTTATGCCACTTATTTTCTCAGGTGATGGGAACAGGACACATGTTACATCTGGAAGTTAATGCCTTAGTTCTAGTTTATTCTTTCTCCAAGTACGCTAAAGACTTTCTTTTGTAGCATTGATCTTCTAGTGGACAATAAAATGGTGAGGAAAAATGCTATCAACACCTCCCATTCTTCTCAATTTCCCACTGTCTCGTGGCTTTTTTTCCATACCTGTACCATTTTAGTAAAGAAAACACAGAGCAGTAATCATTAGGCAGAAAGGACTTGAAAGGAGAATCATTGGCAACTCATAATCAGCCCAGCAATAGCAACAAGAGATTTTATATTGTCAGGCGAGACAGGCTGGGTAGAGAATGCAAAGGCAAATGATAAATAGAGTATAAACATATACACAGGAGGAAAATCTGAATCTACTGCACGGTTCACTTTCCTTCAGTGGGCTGCTGGCGGTGGTCTCAGAAGAGCACTCTGATAGGCGAGCAGGAGGCACTGGTTTTATAAAACAGAATCTTCAAAGGACGAGGAAGGCAGGCCTGTGGGGAAAGAAAGCAGAAGTCTGGCAATAGGTCATGGGAAAGGAAGGAATCACTGTGGGGTTTGGGCTTGAAGAGAGAAAAAAGTAGCAGCAGGCCACAGCCAAACCTGTCATTAGCTTGCGCGCGCGCGCGCGCACACACACACACACACACACACACACACACACAGACACACATCACTGATCTTAGAATTGGTTGGACTGAATGTTATTTTTTTCCCGTCTAGACTCATTTCCTATCTTATGTTAATAATTTTGCTGCTTCTCTACACTTAAGTCTTAAAACTTAAAAAAATCTCATAGTCCTGCATATGCCCCCAAAGTGTTATGCAAAAAGAGTTCTATGGAGCTAATACCTACAAATACATCAGTTTTCTATCAAAAGTCACTTTATGGCAGGCTGCTATTGGGTAATTGAGATGCACTTTACTAAACATATAACAGGTTTAAACTAGCAGATTTTATTAATACTTGTTTTTGTTTTTACAATCCAATTACCTGGAACAGTGCCGTTTATTCAGAACAGGTTTTTTTTTTTTTTTTTTGCTTTAATTTCAAAAACTACATTGATTATTTTGATGGATGTTTAAAACTTCACTGCTTTCACAGAAAAAAATACTTCAAAAAATGATTCTTGTTTTTTTTCACTTTTTGTGTGTAYTGGTGGTGCTTTATTTGTACCACAGAAGTATTCATTTATACATTTAGAAAATGAGTAATCCTTGTTCATTTCTTCTTTGACAGYAATATGAGAGTATAGCTTTTACGTACTAGATAACCCATCAAGAGAGGTTTTCATTCAGAAAATGTTAGAGGGTGCTAGCAATGCCTTAAATGAAAAGAGCTAATTTACCACTTTCATTTCCTAAGAGTGGGTATGGAGTGACTTAAATTTTTTGCTCATGGTTTTGCATTTTGGAGAGTACTTGGCAGAATGGTTTGTGTGTGCTCTTAGCTGAGAATGAAGATTGCAAGTCCAAGGTGGCTTTTAGTTCCTCAGGGCCATTCTCCACATGGCCTTCTGTCATTCATAATCACAAGCTTCATACAAGGAGAATTACTCTTGAGGTAGTGATAGCAGAAGGCTAGATCTGTTTAAAAAGTTTGACTTGGAGTGAACAGTACAACTTACACGACATTGTGTGGTGCAAAACAAGTCACATGGTCAGCCCAGATTCAGAGGGAAGGAGAATGGTCTCCAAATTTTGTTGGGAGGAATTGTGTTCATTTACATGGAGGGAAGGAATTGTTGGGTGCTATATTTGGAGACCAGAGCACTCCTCTTACAAATATAACATTGAATATAATAAGAAAGCTCAGTTTCTTAATTGTAAAGGTCCTTTTTAGATGTATAGCCTATAAATATTGTGCATAATTTTGAATTCATTCTTTCTCAATATGAGCTCATGTTTCCTTGATTTGGAGTTGTGATACTCCATGTTTTTATTGTTRTTGTTATTCTTCTTATTATTTTTCATTCTGGG